TGGAGTACTAATTTGTAACTGTATTATTTTCTTCCATAGTGCATGTGCAGGCATGCAACAGAGCTCCAGCTTTCCCCGTCGAAAAAAAATAATGGTGCGCAGTTTTCTTTCACAAAGCAAGCATACGTTTGCATGGAAGGTACAGCACTTGTGCGCCCGGTTCGGTCAGCCTTGATGTCCACCCTCACACGAGCGTGGCCTAACATCATTCTGGACCCCTCTTCACGCGGATTTTTGGGATATGGTGCTACGGGAGGATAAACTTGGATTGTTCATCGGTGCTGTGAGATTAGCACTTAATATGATGAATTAATGAATACCAAAATAATATAGTAGAACGTTAAATTTTTATGTAGAATTTTGCCTGGTCTTCTATTAATTTGTGTACTAGTTGTACTTATTAATCCTTCGCTCCCGCCTACGTGCGAAACTCCCATCTAGGGTTTCCTTGCCTCTTGCCGGCGCCGCCTGTCCGCCTCATCTTCTATGGTCCTTGGACCATGGAGGCACGGTGGATCCCGACCTTTGTCGGCGGGAGGGCTTCGTTTTTAAATATTTTTTTGAGTTTTGTTAGGGTTTATGTCATGCTTAAGAAGACAAGACGGCGGCGGCTTCTTGAAGATGGAATAAAGTCCTCCCCGCCTAGCCCCCGTCCCGATGATGTTTCAAGCATCGTCGGAAGGCATGTGGAGGTTTGTCTTCGACGGATCTCGTGGGATCCGATCGGCGTTTGTCTTCGGTGGATCCGACTGGATCCTGTCTTCGTTCGGCTACGTTTGTGTGTCTGCAAGTTGGATCTTTTCGGTCTATACTTATCTTCATCGACGACGGTTGTTGTTCTGGTGCGTTGGTCCTATGGGGCCTTAGCACAACGACTTCCGACTGTCTACTACAATAATGTTTGCCCGGCTCCGACGAGGGAGGGGCGATGACGGTGGCGCGGCTTCGGTTCGCTCCAGTGCTTGTTGTCGTTGCTAGGTGGTCTACGGGCCTGGATGTAAATTTTAATTTCAGTGTTCTTTGTACTACCTTGATAGTTGATGAATAGATCGGAAGTTTTCTCCCAAAAAGAAAATATGTACTATTTTTTTATTAGTATTGCGTTTTAAAATTTAAGTTCCTTTTTCATGATTCGAGTTAACTATGAAGAATGAATTTTTTTTACGGGGGTTTCAATAAGAAAATGACAGATTTAAGGAGTTCGGTCGTAAATCAGTAGTTCAAAACATGCGACGAAATTAAAATACCCCACTTACCAAATTGAATACATGTTGAGCATGTAGTACTCCCTTCATTTTTATTTAGTCCGTATATTAGCTTTGATAAAAGTCCAGCTTTACAAACTTTGACCAAGTTTATAAAAAATCTATATTAACTTAAGCAATAACAAATCAATACAATTAGATTTATTATTGAATGTACTTTCACATCATATAGGTTTGTTATGATAAATGTTTATATTATTTTTTATAAACTTGGTTAAACTTTATAAAATTTAACTTCAGTCAACTCTAATATGCAGAGTAAACAAAAACGAAGGGAGTACTGAACACAAGATAAATGAAGCTATTAACCATTCCTGGGTGCCTTGACTGCTGGGAGGCATTTACGGATGAGTGATTAATTGCCAGTCGGGCTGTTGTATGCAACTGGCGCGTGGGACTTGTAGCTGCCCTAATACAAAGACTATACGCTGCGCTCCCGAAACGGACCAGGCTGCAACTAATTTTCACGGAGCTGTTAAAACCGAGCTTTACAGCTCCGCGGAGTGAGAAAGCGGAGTGGAGAGATTCTGAACAAGGTCTTAGTATGTACCAAGATATCATTATACAAGCTGGTTGTATAATAAGTACACGAATCAGCGTGGGGGTGGACGAAGCTAATTTCCTCCCTTTCCGCGTGGCATCATGTCCACTCGTCCATTTTCGCCCTCTCCACTCTCTATATATAGGTGACATACATTCCAAGACAGGAGCAAGGGCCACCAGCTAGCTATTACTTTCCTTTCTCGTATCCCGGCCTCTCCCGGAAGTTGGTCTCCTCACCCTTCAGCTAGCTCCTTCCTACGAACAGAGGTCAACTACCCGCACGCCGGCCAATCACCTTCACAGTCAGAGATCGCGGTGCAGTGAGACATGGAGATGGCCGCGGCGACGAGGGATGGAAAGAATGGCGGCGTCCCGGAATGGCGGGTGACGGTGCCGGAGGGCGCGTCGGTGACGGTGGAGCACGAGGTCTGCCGGGCCGCGCGGGCGTGGGCGTGGGTGGTTTCCTGCGTGGTCGTGCTCGGGGAGAAGGTGTCCGGCTTCGCCAAGCGGATATGGAAGATCGGCGCCGACGATCCCCGGCGGGCGGTGCACGGCCTCAAGGTGGGTCTCGCGCTCGCGCTGGTCTCGGTGTTCTACTACACCAGGCCCCTGTACGACGGCGTTGGCGGCGCCGCCATGTGGGCCATCATGACGGTCGTCGTGATCTTCGAGTACACCGTTGGTAAGTCGTCGTACTTATACACCCTCGCACGTTACATCCAGCAGAAGAATGTATGTTGCAGTCAACGTACGTACTTCGATTGGCTTTCTGATGCCGACCTCTCATGCATGCACGTGCAGGTGGCTGTGTGTATAAGGGGTTCAACCGAGTCGCCGCGACGGTCAGCGCCGGCGCGATCGCGCTCGGCGTCCACTGGATCGCGGCCAACGCCGGCCACGAGCTCGAGCCGTTCATCCGCAGTGGATCGGTTTTCCTGCTCGGTAAGTATACACGCGTGCCTGTACATGAATTGCGTATCGTGTGCGCCCTAGCTAACGGTCTTTGCTACGCGTTCCGTGCGTGCAGCTTCCATGGCGACGTTCTCGCGGTTCATACCCACGGTGAAGGCGCGATTCGACTACGGCGTGACCATCTTCATCCTGACGTACAGCCTGGTGGCCGTGTCGGGGTACCGCGTGGAGGCGCTCCTGGCGATGGCGCAGCAGCGGGTGTGCACCATCGGCATCGGCGTCTTCATGTGCCTCTCCGTCTGCGTGCTCATCTGCCCCGTGTGGGCGGGGCAGGAGCTGCACCGCCTCACCGTGCGCAACATGGATAAGCTCGCCGGCGCCGTGGAGGCCTGCGTGGGGGACTACTTCGTGGAGCAGGCGGACGGCAAGCAGCAGCCGCCGTCCGCCGGGGCGGACGGGTACAAGTGCGTGCTCAACTCCAAGGCGTCCGAGGACGCGCAGGCCAACCTGGCGCGGTGGGAGCCCGCGCACGGCAGGTTCGGCTTCCGCCACCCGTACGAGCAGTACAAGAACGTCGGCGCCGCCATGCGGCACTGCGCCTACTGCGTGGAGGCCCTGAGCGGGTGCGTCCGCTCAGAGATCCAGGCGCCCGAGCACGTCAAGCGGTACCTCGCCGACGGTTGCACGACGGTGGCGGCGCGGTGCGCGCGGGTGCTCGGGGAGGCCGCGAGCTCCGTCGGCGCAATGACTACGTCGTGGAGCCTGGAGTTCGCCGTGGCCGACATGAACACCGCCGTGCAGGAGCTCCAGAGCGACCTGAGGGAGCTCCCGTCCAAGCTGGCGGAGGAGTCGCCTGCGACGGTGATCGACGCCGTGCAGCTCTTCACGGTCACTTCGCTGCTGATAGAGGTGTCCACGAGGGTGGAGGGCGTCGTGGACGCGGTCGACACGCTCGCCAGCCTTGCCGGCTTCAGATCAGCGGACGCGAAACCTGAAGCTTCAGAAACCGAAACCAAAGTGATCAATCCAGACTCGGACGAGGAAGCACATTGAACATGATTAATCGGATCCGGATGCAGGTCGGAATTGATCCCAGCCAGATGAGTGGAGCCGGGCAGATTAAACTGGTTCCACGATGGCGTTCGCGTGATCTGACATATCATTCTTTATCTGATTATTCCTGCTCGCAGCATGTGTCATTTCAATCCCGATTGATCCAGCGGTGACAGAGTGACCGAGTTAGATCAGTGGCGAATAAAAAAAACGTGAACACTTGGCCCAGGTCATTTAGTACGTGCATAATAAGTCCCCTCCCAATAAAAATCTACCTGCAGTGATTCAGTAAGTGTTTAGGACATCTACAATACAGAGTGATTACAATGTACTTAAGGAACTCTACACATCGTTATGGATTATTTTTCTTCTAAATATCTCTGTTTATTTCTATAGCGGAGATGCCAGTAATTGAGCAAAAATCTCCACATCGTTGTATGCACTTGAAAATCCATAACTGATCCCAAGCTCATCTGCTCTAGTGTGAACTGTAAATTCAAATAAAATAGCAATTTTTTTAAAAGTTTTGTACATAAAATGAACAAGTTTTCTATGTGCATGCAAAATATCATGGCAATATGACAATTGGGGAGCTCAGGGCAGAAAAAAAATCACTGCTCCAAAATAAAATAAAAATTGAACCTTTATCAAAATTCTGTTTTTTTCCACAGCTCTACTGATGTCATATCGCATCAAAAATTTGCACACATAGAAAACTTGTGCATCTTGATTTTCCATTGCAATTTGTTTCGATTTTATACCGTTCAACCACGGAGCAGAGGCTCCTGTGCACCAAAACACTGTCCTTGTAACCTTGTAATATAAATGTCCTTAGTGTTTACTCAAAAATTGGTTTATTTTTCTAAGCACCGGTGGTTCCTGTAGAGGTGCCTAGAAGAATACAAAGGTGCATCGAGAAATAAATTGTTTATTATTAAGCATTGGTACTTATTGGTAGCATACAAATCTAAACTTTCCAGTGCATATGTGCTTATTTGTTTCTTCATTTATTTAATTATAAGGTCTTATGTGGACACTTAAGGGCCAACAAGGGAGAAAAAAATATGTGAGGATGAGTGGATACGTACATATAGAATAGAAACGAGAGGGCTTTGTGCCTGGGCACCAAAATCATATATTTCTTACTTAGCTGTTCTATTATATATAAAAAATTTCCTATATGGCATGGCTTAGCACAGATACACAGTGAAGCACAGTAACAAGGCAAACCCTTTCCACTACTTGGCCCAAGTCACCGCGAGCAGATTTGTGGCACGCAAGTGCAGGGGCACCAACCACATTTTTCGTTTGGCTTTTGATTTTGCATCTTTTATATCTTTTGAACCAAAGTTCAAATTAAATTTTGTTTGCATATTCACGTTCCTTGCGATGCAGTCTTTGAAATAAGACCACTTTTGAATACGTTTTGACGAGTTTTTAGAACTTCACCTTATGCTGAAACTTGATACGAACGAAAGAACAAGTTTTCATGTTTCAAAAACTAAAACTTAAAATTTGATGTCCTCTTATGCGTATGGATCACGAAATCGTGCAGCCGGATACAGTTAGACAGGTGCGTACCCCGCAACTGCGTGCCCGTGCGAATTTCCACCAGGTCACCGAATATTTTACCCGGTGTGTTGTAAAGTTCACACGCACACTCTCTACAAAAGAAGAAAAAAAAAGGTTCACACGCACCCCGCAACAGCCAGCACCAGGGTCATGGGAGAACAAATGATGAACTCACCAATATTAATACGACACTGTGGCTTTCATGATATGCGCACCAACTTATTTTGGAGTGACTGACACGCTGTTCATTGATACTCCAAATGCTCCTACCAAAGAAGCAAGTGAGCATATACATCATGCATGCATCTTCCTAATCGAAGTTACCAGAATTTTTCGGTATGCTTTTTCCATATGCTTTTCAGATGTTGCATACAGCAAGGCTAAGCACCGGTAGTCTATATAAAGTTATAAACAACAACGAATAGATTTTTTGTGTGTGTCTTACCTGATGACTCGCGTCTGCCACGAGTCGCGTTGTCAGCATGAATTAAATACTAATTCACCATAGCTGGTGCTTGCAAAGACATTTTAGTTAATTAGCTGATAAGAGTTAGTGAGAAAAGGGGTCTGTGTATTGTCTCCTTTTTCAACTACTCCCTCTGTTCTTTTTAGTCTGCATATAAGATTTTGGTCAAAGTCAAACCTTGTTAACTTTAACTAAATTTATAAAAATATATATTGAGATTCACAATATGAAATCAATATTGTTAGATGCATCATGAAATTAATTTTCATACCATATAGCTTTAGTGTTTTAGATGTTGATATTTTTTTCTATAAAGTTGGTCAAACTTTACAAAGTTTGACTTTGACCAAATCTTGTATGCAGACTAAAAAAGATGAAGGGAGTATCTAATAGAAGACCCAGTTGTTTCAGCACCGAAAACAGCTGTGTGTGTGTGTGTAGACGAAATAAAAGACCATGAACCAGAAAAGTTTGGTCATATTGGTAATGGGACCATATGGTCTCGTGTGATGTCAAAGTTAGCATGCATGCTAGCATCTTGTCTAGTGAAAGCGACCCGTCTCAAGACAACCACAAGGTCACATGATACAAGATATATTAAGAGAAAACTCAAAAGCTGATCAAACTAAGAAAACACGACAAAACATGTCGAGAGCGCAAAAACGCATAGGAGTGCATTAACGAACACCTCCATCAAACCACCAAGAAGAAGCACAGGGGACATGTTGTCGCAACAGATATACACTCACACTCAACGACGACGCATCCAAATAGTCACGACCCAAAGCACCGCCGCGATCGTGTCTGCCGTAGCTGATAGGGAGAGGGTTAGGACGACTCCTCAAGAGTAAAGTGACACTCTACCCCAAGAGAAAAGCGACACTTGCAATACAACATTGCACCAAAAGAATCACATGAACCCTGCACGTAGTTCATGCATCTCGGCCATAGTTCATAAAAACAAACGAAATAAAGATGATCATGCATCTTGTCCATAGTTCATGAAAAACAAATAAATAAAGATGACCATGCTGTTGGAAATATGCCTTAGAGGCAATAATAAAATGGCTATTATCATATTTCCCGTTCATAATAAAAATTTATTATTCATGCTAGAATTGTATTGATCGAAAACTTAAATACATGTGTGAATACATAAAATACACTGTGTCCCTATTATGCCTCTACTAGACTAGCTTGTTGATCAAAGATGGTTAAGATTTCCTAACCATAGACATGAATTGTCATTTGATAACGGGATCACATCATTAGGAGAATGATGTGATGGACTAGACCCAACCGTAAGCTTAGCATCAGATCGTTTAAGTTATTTGCTATAGTTTTCTTCATGTAAGTTTCTGTTCTTCGACCATGAGATCATGCAACTCCCGGATACCGAAAGAATACCTTGTGTGCTATCAAACGTCACTTCATAACTGGGTGATCATAAAGGCGCCCTACAGGTATATCCAATGATGTTTGTTGGGTTGGCATGGATCGAGACTGGGATTTGTCACTCCATTTGATGGAGAGGTATCTCTAGGACCTCTCGGTAATACAATATCACAAGAAGCTTGCAAGGAATGTGACTAAGGAGTTAGTCATGGAATCTTGTATTACAGAACGAGTAAAGAGACTTGCCGGTAACGAGATTGAACTAGGTATGAGATATCGACGATCGAATCTCGGGCAAGTAACATATCGACGGACAAAGGGAACTACATACGGGATTAACCGAATCCTTGACATGTGGTTCAACCGATAAAAGATCTTCGTGAAATATGTAGGAACCAATATGGGCATCTAGGTCCCGCCATTGTTTATTGACCGGAGAGGTGTCTCGGTCATGACTACATGATTCCCGAACTCGCAGGGTCGCACGCTTAACATTCGTTGACGATAGAGTAGTATTGGGATATTTGATGATTGGTGACTGAATGTTGTTCGGAGTCCCGAATGAGATCCCAGTCATCACGAGGAGTCTCGGAATGGTCAGGAGGTAAAGATTTACATATGGAAAGTTGTTTTCAGGGTTCCGAAAAAAGTTTCAGTTTTTCGGCATTGTACCGGGAAGCTTCCAGAAGGTTCCAAAAACTTTCAGAGGAGTCCGGAAGTCCACCAACGGTTCCACCACGTCCCAAGGGTCAGCATGGGCCGAGGGGAGGCGCCCTGGCCTTATTGGGCCAGGTGCACACAAGTCCCTCAAATGCCCATGCAGTTGGGAAAGGTGGAAAGTCCACTTTTGTATGGAAGGGAAGCAGGAGGACTAGGATTCCACCTCCTCCCCCGTTGGCTGCGCCCTAGGGTTTGGAGGGGTTGTTCCCCATGCCCCTCCACCTACATATAGAGGGGAAGGGGCGCCCCAAGATGATACACAAATCCCTTGGCGCCCCTCTCTCTCCTGTTACTCCGTAGTTCCACCGCCTCGTCCCGGCGCCGCTTAGCGAAGCGTTGTCGGTGCTCCATCACCACCACGTCGTCATGTTGTTTGTGATCCCATCTACTTATCCTATCCCTCTTGATGTATCAAGAAGGAAGAGACGTCATCGAGCCGCACGTGTGCTAAACTTGGAGGTGTCGTCCGTTCGGCACTAGATCGGTTGGATCGTGATTGGATCGCGAAGAGTACGACTACATCAACCGTGTTATATACGCTTCCACTTAGCGATCTACAAGGGTATGTATATGCTCTCCCCCTCTCGTAGTTATGCATCTCCATGAATAGAACATGCGTGTGCGTAGAATCTTTTTGTTTTTCATACAACGTTACCCAACACACGCATCTTGGTCCATCATGAACTTTTGCTTCCTCTCAAACCAAGCCCTCTTTTTTGGTCATCCTGCTCAAGTCGTCCTCCATGATCTCCACTTCCTTAGAGATTAGCATAAGCTCTACCTCATTTTGATTCACCTCCACTTCCTTAGCTCTTTATCGGGCATTTTCTTTGATCGCGAGCTTCCT